TATTTTTTGTGCGCATCCTTTAATGCTAGACACCAAAACATAGGGATTCTCCTTTAATACAGAGTAAAATCTTTCACCCAATAGATGCATGTCTACGAAGTTTCAAATAATGTCATTAACGTCGTGCCAAATCAAATGATTGGTGCAATTCTCGTGCTCTTATTGGCTTATCGTTCCGTACCCGGCCTACTGATCAATACTAAAGTCAATTTATCCAAGAAAGACGTTAATAATCAACGCGTGTTCACCGCGCAATCAGCACGTTGACATATTTCAGGAAACGGGGAGAATAACTGTTATTGAGCAGAATTGGTCGAGGCCATATACAGGACAATTCCAAACCAAGAAGGTGGAGGGGAGACTACACGGCAGTGCATGCAGCCTCGGCTGCCCTGTAATGTGCTGTAATGTTACGGGAAGCATATGTATGTTTAGGTTCAGTTTCTTTCTTCGATAAATGTGCTATTATAGTGAGACACTCTGTTAAACGAGAGCCCGTGTTTGTTTTGATGCGGCATAAAAGCCATATCAATAGGATAGGTATCATCCACTGTTTATAGGACCGTTGAATCGTCGAAGGGAAGACGTTACCAATACATGAGAGTCAAAGTGTAAGTTCTACCATCAATACAATACCTATTTGAAATGCGAGTATAAATTCCATTCCAAGATACATGAGGTGCTTTAAGTCAATGGCGTGGCGATAAAAAGCATATAGGAAGAGTCGCATATAATGGGCATTAGCACGCTCAAGCGAGAAATGTATGGCTATCAAACAATTACCATATAAGTGACATAATGAGTAGTACCTATTGTACTGTCCAAGTGCGAGGTCACAGCCCAGAGAAGAATGCAGTCGTACTGTGTTCTGCTGATAGCAGAGTTCGTTTTATGGTCGTATGCGTCTTGATTGAGCCAATAAAACAATGTTCTCATAAAGCTTGCTGTATGCGATTTCTTATATTGCATGAGGTGATAAGTTTTTTATTCAATGAACATGTTACAGCAGGTTTTTAACTGCATGAATGAGGATTGTCAAGATACAATCAATGGCGTCAAGTAGGTTGAACCAGCACCTCCCACGCAACGCTGTTAGAAATAAATTAAATACGAACATGTACTTATAAAAAAGAAATTTATTTGAACAAGTTAGTCAAATAGACCAATCCAATTAGGCCCTGTCCCTCTAAGAATCTGACCGACTCCTGAAATGGAATATTCCACTGAGAAGATTTGCCACCCCTGTCTTTCTAAACTGTTTGAGAGCTGATACATAATCAATATATACAAAAGTCCTCTTGCTGATGTTTGAGTAGCCCTCCTGAGAAAATTTCCTGCGGTCGCCCAAGTCCAGGATGAGCAAATGCTCGACCCAGACCCAACCCCCTTCGTTTTTCATTGCGCTCGTCGCGGATATTGAAAATATTTATAGCATAGCATGGTATGAATACAGGTAATTATGAAAGGCAATAACTTTCGATTTTATGGTTATGAGATAGTGAGCTACGAATAATGCTCAATGGATTTTTTTCGGAATTTTGATGGTGCCGTCGAGGCACCTCAGTGCTCGTGTGCGTAAACAGCAATCGTACCACTTGGTGGAGAAAACTATTCGGTATGGTGCATCCGATATGTATTTCAGCGATCTAATGCACACTCTCCATGTTTTTTGGAATTTCTAAAAATATTCTTTTTTACATATTTTATGTATGTTCCAGCGATCATTTTCAAAACTATTACCAACCGTCAGATTCTGTTTGCGATCAATTGAGTTGAAACTAAATTTGTCTTGTGTCTTGTTATCATCTCGCTTCACATCCGTTTCGGAGAATGATTGGGTGCAAAAACGTGCAAAATTTTCATTTTATTCAAACATAAATACATTCTCAAATATAGGGTGTCCAAGATCAGGAGCCTATGCATGAGGATCTCAATACCTATGGGCCATACAGTTTAGGTTGAATTATGAAAAACCTGCGATCTTTGAGAAGAATTTACATGCCGTTGAGAAATTTCACGGCTTATTGAGGTATTTGGGAAAAACTAAAATTTGGCCAAATCGTTTCCATTTTTTTTACTTTATTTTAAGAAATTTCAAAAAACTAATGGACCTTTTTTATAGCCACTTTTTAGGCACCGAATGATGGTGTATTTAAATTTTGTTGCCGACGTTTCGTTTTTGATAAACCATCATCAACTCAATTTTTTATATGGTTCGAAAAAAAGTACAACCTGTATCTGATAACATCATTTCTTGTCAATTCAACGATGTATCACGTATTACATTATTTTCTTGGTTATAAAGAAAAATGTGTTTTTTTATTTTATTTAAGAAGATGTAAGATTATGTGATGATGTGATGGGATAAAATTTTATAAAATGATACTTAATCTAGTGATACTCAGAATAACGATTATATTTTTAACATTATTTTTATTCCCAATAGGTGTTCAAACAGGTTGCCATTATTTCTTGAATGAATGCATGAATGAAAGAATCGTGAAATTAGAGGCATTCCGGCCACCATAAGGAGCCAGTGCATAGGCCTCTTAAACGGGCCCTGATGCACCTCTACATTCCTTAGATCACAAGCCTCGCCCTTTTAGCGGAGTTGAGAATCGCCTTGAGTCCTGAGGGTCCAAAGTAATGGACCCCAGTATAGTCTGCCTATAGTAGTTCAGAGCTTCACAGCGACACAAAACGTGCGCCGAGGTCACTTCCTCTACTAAGCAGCGCTCACACAAGGGATCCTCAGCCAGCCGCATCACGTGCAGGTGGTGCCTTAACGTGTTATGGCCAGACAACAGTCCCAACAGCAATCTTAGGTTGGCTCTATCCAGAGATAAGCAGAAACGTCCATCCTTAGCACTGGGTCCTTCAATGAGTTCCCGTGCCTGGCGGAGATGTCTGGAGTTATTTCTCCACTTCTGAGTGTGGTCTTGTAATCCACGTCTCCATTTTCCTCTTAACTCTATGCGCGGGCACTCCTAAAGCTGGCTCAGGACCAACGAGCTTGCTGGCTGATCCTGTCTTCACCAGAGCGTCCACCGTCTCATTGCCTCTTATCCTAGCGTGCTCCGGTACCCACATTAACGATACCGGATGCCTCGCTGCGAGGGAGTGCAGAGCCTCCCTGCATTGCAGTACAAAATTCGAAGTAATCTTACAGGCACTTAGTGCCTTCATTGCAGCCTGCCTGTCAAATAAGATTGTTATTATTCTTCTAGGCCCATCCTCCTCCAGAATGCGATATACAAAAGCCAGAATCGCAAATATTTCCGCCTGGAAGATAGTGGTGTATCCACCGAGAGGCAGAGATTGCCTAGTTCTAGGCCCAGAGACCCCAGCGCCTGAGCTCTTTTCGGTGACCGTCACTCCGGAGAATCTCCGGCTACCGGCGTCCCACTCCTCCCTCGTTGGATACTCCACATTAAACTTGCTGTTGACATTATTTCTTAATGTTAATGATGTTCTAACAGTATAATTCAAAACATCACGTAACATTTCTGGTGTAATCATAGTAAATGCTTCCATTACACATTCTGCTAGCTGTTGCTCAGTTTCAAACGCATGCTGATAAACAAAAAGTCCAGATGACTTTCGGGGAACGCGCTGGCCAGGACACTTCACTGGAAGTCCCAATACACCTTCCGGAAGTTCGCTCAGAAAGATACTCTCGAACTAGGGTGATGTGCACCAGAACAACGTTTCTAGTTTTTGTTTACAAATTGAGAATTCATCATGTTCAACATCAAACGATATACCTATAGTACAAATTCGAAACGTACTGCGGTAAATACGGCTCCTAAAGTCCCAGAACCGTGTAAAAATAGAGCCGGCTACAACATGCGTCAATTCTGTCGGAAAATAAACGACAAAACGCCATCACATCATCAGAAACATGTATTTGGGCATTCCGCTTCTGTCATGAACGTGTCGAATTAAACGCTAGCACCAATTCCATTCCCAAGCGATGAAATTTTTATTCGCATCATAACATCCCCGGTTTTAACTGGATCATAACGGAAAATTGAATAATGAATTTGCCGCTGAAGTTAACCTTCAAAATAAACGACGACGAAACGTCGGCGGATCGTACACACAGGGAGGTTAAGTTGTTTATCCAATTATAAATTTGCAGTAATCGCTTCATTTGACCACCTCAATTAGACTTTATTGATTAATGCTCCCGCGGAACTTAGTTATGAACAGAGTGGACCGATATGGACGAAAAACATTCCATAAAGCAGCTAGAAAGGCAGATCTTAAATCCTCTTTATTTTTATAATTGGTTTGAAATTCATAAACTAGACAAAATTTGATCGAATCAACTTTGGTGGGGCCGTGATCCGGCAGCAGACAATCCCAGAGATAGGAGACCAAAAACAGCAATAAATTATAAAGTGACTCCAAGTGCTGGACCTATGATTTTCGAAGATCGTCGTGTGAAGATCTCTACCATCTGGAACTCAGCCTAATAATCATCTTACATGACAATTGGAACATGAGTCAGGTGGGTTCCACGTCTGTTGACATCAAAAAAAGTTACGCAGGCTGGAAATTTCAGAAAGTCATTTGGAGACTTTCACCGTTTCTGACTTTTTGGCAAACGTGATGGGCGACGAGACTTGCGTGCATCATTGGGATCCTGAGACAAAAACCGCATCCCAAGCAGTGGGTTCACAAACGGTCTCCACCCCCCAAAAAGGCACTGACGCAACTCTTTGATGGAAAATGGATGGCAACAGTTTTTAGGACATCAGGGGCATCCTTCCAATTAATTGTATGCCAACTACTTATAGAAGTACTGTAACAATTGCAAAAATCACCCAAATGCGTTTAGAGTTGTTTAAAAACCCAGATTTGGTAACTGCTGTTTCCATGCATTAACCCAGATACCCCTACCGTCCGTTACAACAATCACCTAATATTTCGCTTCAAATTTGAAACTCTGTCACTCCGCGTTAGATAGCGTTGGGTTATTCGCTGTTAGAAACACGTGTTTAAGCGAAATTTATTGTTCTAACCTTTTAAAGGGAGAGTTCTGTATGCGAGAAAGTGTTTGGAATAACAGGTGCTTAGTTTGTTGTGAACAATGGATAATTATAGGTGAGTATACTGATAAACTATTCATATTATTTTTCCATCTTGTGAATAAGTAATTTTAGAAAACATCAATCTTTATTATTGTAAACAAATAAGTTAAAAAATTGCATCTCACCGGCAAAAATATAACCTCAAATACCGATGTCCGTTTTAACGGACAGTAGGAAAATCTGGTATTATTCGATTTTTTTTCTTATATTTGCAGTTATTGGAACGATTGGAAGCGGCCCATGAAACTTCATGAACTCATGGCAGAAATTGAAAACATTGATGACGATGAGTTGATTCCTGATACTATTGCCGTTCTACCGCCAGTTAACGCAAATGAATATAACACTGATGAGGATTCCGGCGACGAAAATGAAGTGGATATAAACAACCTCCCTGGAAGTCAGCTGATGACTGAAGTTGAGGTTGTAGTTGAAAACAAGGGATCAAACCAAACTACAGTTGAGAGTGATTTTGATAGAGACGACCTTTGTCTACCTTTCTTACGAAAAAACGACCAAAATTATCAAAACCAAGTTACTCTTGGAAAAAAGGTGACATCAACCAAGATTTTCCAGAATGGGTAAACGCAAGTGGTCCAAAAATTCTTTATCTCCTTTAGAACTATTTTTTCAGTTTACAGATGACGAAATCATTGACTTGGTTGTGAACTGAGGCCCTTGTTTTCTACTCTGAATGAGAAATTTCAGTCATTTGCACAGCTTGAAGAGTGCCATAGCGTGGACGAGTCGATGGTACCCTATTACGGCGGTCATGGATCAAAACAGTTTATCCGAGGAAAGCCCATTCGTTGGCGTTATAAGGTATGGGTGGGAACAACTAAAAAGGGGTACATTGAATGGTTTGAGCCGTATCAAGGGTCCACAACTATTATTTCTGAAAAATATCGTCCTCTTGGCTTAGGGGCTAGTGTTGTACTTCAGTTTGCTGATATTATTCAGTCTCAATGTGAAAACGCTCCTTTCCATATCTTTTGTGACAATTTTTTTACGTCATTACCTCTGTTGGCTGAGCTGACCTCCGGGGGGCTCAAATGATCAGGACCTCTGCGAGAAAACAGACTCAGATTGCCCTCTTGAAAAATCCAGTTTGTTCAAGAAAAAATCCCGTGGTAGTTTTGATTATCTTTTGGAGGAGAACCAAAATAATATTGTATGTAAATGGAATGACAATAGTGTTGTTACAATCGCCTCAAATTTAACATCTCCTTTTCCGACACAGCAAGTCAAACGCTTCTCTCAGAAAGAAAAGAAAATGATACATGTTGAGCAGCCATGTTTGATCAAACAATACAACGAAAACATGGGCGGTGTTGATAGGGCTGACCAAAATATAAGCCTTTACCGCGTAGGAATCAGGGGAAAGAAGTGGTATTTTTGCTTGTTTTCACATGCTCTGGATATGGCAGAACAAAACGCATGGCAACTTCATAAACATTCTGGCGGAAAAATGGACCATTTGCGGTTTAGGAGGTGTATTGCTGCGGGATTATTAGAAACCTATAAGAAAGAAACAAAACGGGGGCCATCTAAACCAGGCAAATACCTGCATTATGAGTCCAGATATGATCGGATGGATCATCTTGTGAATTATCAGGAAAAGCAAACCCGCTGCGCATTTTGCCACAAACAAGCAGTATTCAGATTCCAGAAGTGTGATGTTGCACTTCATCCAATAATGTGTTTTTTAAGTTACCATACTAAAAACTAATCTATTATTATTGGTTTAAAATTTTTTTTTCGTTTCTAAATAAAGTTTTATAAGTTCATAAGAATATTGAGTTTTAGTACCTTATATTGCTACCGTACGTTTAAACCGACGGCTTTTACAGAAAAACCTAAAAGCGGAACTAAAAAATTTTACTAGGAAAATATGTTTATATTAACCCAATTAATAGGTTTACAAAAGTATATAACAAAAAACAAACATTAAGAGTTTCAGGGGTATCTGGGTTAAGAAGTATCTATGCGGCAAGTGTTTCATGCCAAATGCAGACAGGTATTTTAAAGGACCACCAGAAACCATTTCAGGGAAAGCTTGTATCATATAAAAAAATGGCTGAAAGATATGTATTGAACTTAGGAATGCACTACCTGACTTGATTTTCAAGCTACTTGATTGACTTGGAACCAAGTCAGCTCAAGTCAAGTATTAGATACTAGCAATCCGATATCAAACCACGTAGTTTTTATGTTTGTCCGACAAGTGCTTGAAAAGTCTCGTAGTCCTGATATTACTTGATAATTTTTGTAAAATAACTACAAGTAGATTATAAATACCCAACGAAAAAACTTTATTAATTATGATGGTGGTAAAATTAAAAAGAAGTGATAACTGACTGGATTTTGAAACACACTCCTATATCATAATAATTATTTTTAAGTTGTGCCAGTATACAACATATATAATAGCTAAAGATGTATGGACATTATATTTTGTTCTTGTAAAAAAAATTGTTTTTATATTTATAGAAAACCTGCGTAAGCCCTTGAAACGGCGCTGAACGTACGTCGCCTTTGATTTTTTCTTCCTTCCGGTTTTGTACTGGAACCTTCCCAATTTCAACGACACCATTTCGTATTTTTACTGTTTACTGTTTACATCCTCATTTGGGGTGACATTGTCTTATGACAATTTTCTCTTTTCTACGTGATTATTTGCATTAAAATAGAAAATATGGCTAATCGGTTGTGCAATCAAATCAAATCAAGCATTAACGTTTCAAGTAATTTCATTTTCAAGTAGGTTTATGAAAATATAGAACTTGTACTCAAGGGAAACTGTATTGAAAGATAAACGTATTTTCATAGATCACATTATTTTTCCAGAAGGGTCTAGCTTGGTTTTTGATCAATTTCTCTGAAATATAAAATAATAAATGATTTACAATACGACCTAATTATTCCTCCTACTTTAAAATAGTAAGAGTTCATAGAATCACATGTTGGATATTATGTAGCAGTTCTCACAGTACATGAATTCTTTTAATCAGACACTAAAACACATATTGGATGACTCGAACAGTTAATGAAGCCTGATGGCAAAATACAAGTGTACAGCTATTTAGATAAATACATGGTGGCCGATATTTAACTGACTGGTTTGTACTTTGAATACTTGTGAACTGAAATAACATACGTCCATTTTTTTACCCTAATCTTTTATTGAAACTTATAAATTATATATGGAAACTAATAGAGAAATGTCCGCCTCTACAAGTATATTCAGATAAGAGATAGACCGGACATAAACAAGACCACGTGATCATCGAACGCTGTAACATTCGGCAGGGACGTATTAAGAGTCACGCAGTACATATTTTAGATAGTAGATGCTGCTTTGCGTAACTTTGTAGTAAATTAGCACAATTCGATGTGTATACGATTGGTGATGGATATTGGATCACGTGGGGGTGGGGTAAGAAATATATAATGATGTAAATATACATAAGGGTTTCAAAATTTTCGTTTCGATTTCCAGCTTCGGATGCCGCCTGATGTTTGGTGAAATACAGTCGAATATAATCTCAAAATGGCGTTTAAATTAGCCTAAATTAAAAATAATCGTATATCTCTTAAAATTGCTTTTAGAATATTGATTAGTATATTTTTTGATTTCTAGGTAAATATGTAACCAAATTAAAACGTTCAAAACGTAAAAAAATGTGCATGGTTGAACATTGTCAGAAAGTAGATTCTTGAATAGGTTTTGCCAAAATGGGTTCAAAAATGTCAATAATTAATTAAAAAATACAGTAGCTTTATAATTACTTATAACTTACCGAAATTGATGAACGACATCTTTTATTGGAAAGATGAGCTTGATGAGCTTTCATCATCGCTACTGCCTGAAGCACCAACGTCAATAATGAATGGCTCGACTTGTTCCTCTAAAATATTGTCCAGTTCCCACATTCTCTTTTCAACTTTGTCTTTCACGTGCTTAATACAGTTTTCCCATTTTTGCGCTGTTATTAATTCTAGTGCTTCTTTGAAAAGTCCTTTGAGGTCACAAAATTTAAAAGTTGTATTGTGCTTAGCTATATAATTTTCAACCTCTGCCCATATGAGCTCAATGGGATTGAGCTCGCAATGGTATGGAGGTAAACGGAGCACAGTTTTATTTTGACTTGCTGCCATTTCGTCAATGGCGTATTTTTGATATTCCGCCTTGTGATCCTTGACAATTCTTAATAATTGTACTTTCAGCATTGCTTTTTCAAAGTTGATATTTTTCGAGCGGAGCCAATTTTGAACATCAACTTTCCTTGAAGCCGTTGTTGGGACCTTCTCCATTCTTCGAGAATGATAAGGCGCATTATCCAACACAATTACTGCGTTTTCCTCTAAGTTCGGTAAAATTTTTGAAAACCACTGTTCAAACGATTCTCCATTCATTTCCTCGTGGTAATTTCCAGTTTTCTTAGACTCAAAGCACCACAGACCGTCAACAACAAATCCATCCTCACTGCCAATATGCAGATAATGAGCCTTTTCCCTTTACCTGGAAATCGAAGTACTAACTGGTGTAGATTTATTTCAATAAGCGAACCTTTTTCAAATGTTTTCATCACATTCAGCGAAAAAACATTGAGACATGAGTATCAGATTGCTATAATTGGGATTATTTAGTCATATTGAAAGAAAGAATATTGAACGTCGTATGATTACTCAGCGCTTCACAATTTAATTTAAAGTTATAAACCTTTAAAAAATGAATGATCAGGAACCTGAAATACGCGCAAATATTAATATTAACAAATTATAACTTTATAAAGCTTAAAGTATGAATTAAAATGATTAGAAATATTAGGAACGGTACACAATATAAAACTTAGTAACTTTTTTTAAGTTTATAATATTCGACATATTTTAAGTTTATATTAAAAAATTATTGAAATATCGAAAACACATAAAAACATGGCTTAAAAAAGTTCTAACAAATGAAAATGACAATAAAACATCCACGCATTTTATCGAAAGTTATAAAAGTTTTGTTACTTGTAATATGTTTTATCTGCCCCCTGGAATTAATGTTTAGAACCTTGGGAACAAGGAAAAACATCCGATTGTTGTCTATTACTCGTATTTACCTGCTGGATTTTTTAATCCGGTGGACAGTTCATCTAGAAAGGCCCTCCTGGATGAAGTTACAGAATCATCAACCCATACTTTACTTGTAGTGTGTCCTGCGTTTACCCACGTTTCATCAAGGTAATAAATCTTCCTGTTTTGATTTCTATATTTCCCAATTTTTGTTAAATAATCCCTCCTCCATAGCACAATTTCTTCTCTATCCAGTAGTAAGCTATTACGACCCCGTTTTTTCCATTTGAAATTTAAATGCTTCAGTAACGCATGGAAAGTTGATCGTTCGAAATTTGGCAACGTTGCATCTCCATTTACCTCCTGCAGTACTTTATCTATAGTAGGTATTTCATTCCTAAAGAAGAATTCATGCACTTTCCTCCTAATCGCATGCTTATCAGCTTCATCCAATGATTTAACAATACTTTTGCGATGTTTACTGGTCATTGGCTCAGAAAAGGTGTGATTTTTTTTGTATTGTCTTAACACATTAAACACTGATGCGCGACACACC